AGTACAGGCTGAAAGCACTAACTCTTAACCATTGTGGATCAGCTTCTATCTGAGACTCTGAACATTACAACTACTAACTATTCACACGCCACGTGACAGCACTGAGAGGTAGGTGAGCTGTTATTCTACAAGGAAACCTAGGACACAGAGGGTGTCTCTGCATGGTGATAAAAAACCTGCATCTGTCCTGGATCAGCTGACTCAGGCTCATGGAGCTTGGCTCCGGGGATGAAAAATTGCAGGTAGACATTCAGGTTTGGATTGCTGCCCGAGTTCTGGGACAGTGCAAGCATGGAGGGTCTCAGGGCTGTGGCTCCAGGCTGAACCCAAACATCCACACGGCAATTTTAAACCCCGCAGCCCAAGTTAGCTGGCTTGGGTGAACCATGGCTCAGCATCAAGGCTTTTATCCCTGTGTGGACGTACCTAGAGAGGACAAATGCTGTGTGATCTTACAGTCACAGTGGTGGGGGGCAGAAGAGACCACCAGATCATGTAGTTTGACCTCCTGCGTGTCACGAGACACTGACACCGCCCAGCACTTGCAGATGGACAGAGAGCTAGGAATGAAACCCAGAAGTCTTGATTTCTAGTTTTCCTGCTCCAACCAGTTTATTTATGAACTAAAAAAAAAAAACCAACAATGCATCCCCGTCTCTCCCAGCTCTGCTCATGAAAACCACCAGCTGCAACGTCCTCAGAACTTAGTTGATTTCTGCTGTGAATCAGGATCTAAGGTAGGGGTGGGCAAAAGGGCCTCCGCGGGCTGGATCCGGCCCGCCAAGTGGGTGGATCCGGCCCACAGAGGCACTGCTACTCCCCTGCCCCCAGGCTAATTAAGGAGTGTGCCACGCCTCTTCCAGGGCATGGGTGCCTAGTGGAAAGGAGGGGCAAAGGGGTTCCCCCACACCCAGATCAATCATGGTCTGGGTGTGGGGTAGCCACACCCCTTCCTATTTAGGCCCCACCCTTTCCAGGGTGACCTGGGGCTACTTCAAAAACAATTCTGAAGTGGCCCCCAGGCAAAATGTATTGCCCACCCCTGTTCTAAGGTCAGCTTCTCCCAACCACTCCCTGTATGTGAAAAATGCTGACTAGAGGCATTTCAAACAAGGATCAACTTGTTTATGCTTTTCCTCTCACTTTTAAGTGTCCAAATGTAGTGAGGAGGGAATGAAGAAGCCACCCATCCGTTGACTCATTCCACAGAGGCCATCTCTATATGAAAAGGGATTTTTATTAATTATCGCTATTATTGGGTTATGGTAGCAAGTGGAAGGCCCAAGTGAGACTAGGAGCCCATTGTACAAGGCACCTTACAAACACAGAGTGAGAAACAGTCACTGCCTCAAAGACATGCGAAGTGTAGGAGAAAGAAAGTATGAATACCTCCACAGAGGTACTGAGGTGCATAAACCCCAGGCTTTAGTCCCACTCAGCTGCTGCATACCCCTATAGATGCCTTAGAGTTTTTGGCAGCTAGTGTTTGCAGGAAGTATTAGTGTTCCCTAGATACCCCTGTTTCTGACTCTGGGAATCCAAACTGTAGCCCCACCCCCGGTGTCTGGATAAATGTCTCCCACTGTGATCCAGGAACTGGGGGGGATAGATGGATTTTGCTTGTGGAGGCCTAATAAGATAGGTAGACTTTAAGAATACCTGCCCTGTGAGGGCCCCATTCAATATCTGGCCAGAGAAGCAGGTAGAGGTGGTGTGCCCACTGAATAACTTTTAGCTCAGAGACTAACCCACTCAGCTGGGACGTGGGAGACCAGGGTTCAGCTTCTGATGGGAGAAAGCATTTGAACAGGGATTTTATACCCTACAGCAGAGTGCTCTAACCATTGAGCTGTGGGAAATTCTGACCTGGGGCTCCCTCACTCTCACCTGTGACAGGGAACGACTCTGTAGCCTGGTGCTAAGGGCACCCCAGGTGGGAGACCAGGGCCCAGTCCCCCTGCTTCATAGCCCTGTAATTATGTATACACATTGAAACAGCTTTAATACTAGTAAGCCATTATCATCCATAATGAAACCCGCTCCCACGGCTTGTCCACTTCTCCTACAGCCCATTCTCCCACAGAAAAAAATCAGTCGCACAGGAGCTTCCCAATGCTAGGGGGAGGAGCCCCAATCCAGGGACACATCTGGCCCCTGGGCCTTAGGTTCTCCATCCCTGCTCTACCATCTTTGCCCCATCTTCCTGAATAGGGGCAAAGATGGTAGAGGAGGGATGCTGATGCTCCCAGGCTGATGTTGATCAACAAAGATGTTGATCCTCCCAAGCTGATGGGGACTTGAAGGTTTGTGTGGCAGACTTTGCTGCCAGCTCTGAGTAGGGCAGATTATGTCAAGTGTGGGAGGGAACTTTTCAGACACCGTGTGGCTGTGTCTAGACTGGCAAGTTTTTCCGTAAAATCATCTACTTTTGCGGAAAAACTTGCCAGCTGCCTACACTGGCTGCTTGAATTTCCGGAAAAGCACTGACGATCTCATGTAAGATTGTCAGTGCTTTTCCAGAAATACTATGCTGCTCCCGTTCAGGCAAAAGTCTTTTTCCGAAAGACTTTTGCGCAAAAGGGCCAGTGTAGACAGCTGAGATTTGTTTTGCGCAAAAAACCCCGATCGCAAAAATGGCGATCGGGGCTTTTTTGCGGAAAAGCGCGTCTAGATTGGCCATGGACGCTTTTCCGCAAAAAGTGCTTTTGCGGATAAGCATCCTGCTTGTGGAACACACACAGAGCACAAAGATACTGGCTCATGAATTATGCCTTAGGCTATTAATCCAGATGCAATCTGCATTCCCACAACATACAAGATCTCATTTAGGACTAACCTCCATAGCTGGCAGCTGAAACAGACTCATCCGGGTAAATTAGACACAGCAGGAAATGTGACACATATGGTAGAGTGGTTATTCATACACATCACCACCACTGGGCAGATTTGAACCAGGGATCTCTGGAGATTAGTGTAGGAGCCACTACAGCTTGAGCTATAAAGCTAGCTGCCTCTTAGCTCAGGCTGTAAATCTTCCTTGTTCTTGTCTCTCGCAGTAAGCGGTCTAACTGCCACTACATGGGACAGTGAACCATACTAGGTGTGTGGGTTACACAAGCACACCTCTTTGCAGATGCAACTAACTGCTTGTGTCTACAAGTTCACATTGTGGGATGATGGCGTAATATTTGGGGCACAAGGCCTAGGCACTGTGCCTGTCACTCCTCCGGTCTGCACATACATATTTCAGCACTGAAGGTGCAACACACAAGTCATCTCTGTAATGCCTAGACCAGGGGTGGGCAAATTCTGGCCTGCAGGCCGGTCCTCAGGGTTAATCGTTGGCGGGTCCCCACTGCTATATTTACCTGCACCTCCACAGGTATCACACGAACGGTGATCCACGGCCAATGAGAGCTGCGTTCGTCTGCTACCTGTGGAGGCGCAGGTAAACATAGAAGTGGCAGCCTGCTGGGGCTAACCCTGTGGACGGCTGTTTTTTTATTACCCACCCCTGACCTAGACACAACAAAGCAAGTTACGAATGCTGTTTCAGCCTGCACTATGAATTCTCTCACCTTCTAAATCAAATGATCTCTTATTCCTAAACTTTCCAATGCAGAGTTGAGGATTACAGCCTGCAGTTGCTGGTTTCCTATCATTAATATGCTCGGGGGTGTGCTATATTGAAATACAAAGATGCTCCACGCCCTAATTGTTGTCAGTCGAGTTACACTAGTATAAAGCTGGCGTCATAGAGTAGAGAAGCCTCACCTTTCAGCCTACAAACTGATTTCTGATTAAACTAGCCTGAGCCACCTGAACAGACATAAATGTTTATGAAAGCAATGCGATCTCGCCATTTCCATTGTTGGAAAAAGACAGGAACTTCTTGTACATCGGCACTGGAGAGACAACCCCTGTTCTTAAAGAAACTGCAGTGCAAAACAAACAAAGGAGGCCTCCCTTTTGGCTTCTGAGTGGAGTCTCTTTTCTCCAGACTGTGTTTCTCGGACAGCACCAACATACTAAACATAACGCTTAGAGCTGAATGACCCTTGCCATGTGAGAAACACGGGCTGATGTCTAAAGGCTGCATTGTGACTCTTTGTCTAGAATGCCTACGGTAGGCCAAACTCTGCCTGTCGATAGGAGGGGTTGCACGTAAATGCCGAAATTTCACCTTTATTCTTCCCATCTCTGTGGATGACTTAGTAATACTTCCTCTAAAAAACAGCCTTCATCTGGAATGTGAGAAGGTCAAACGGTGCATTTCAGATGCATATGATCAACAGATTATAATCAGAGAAAGTTGAGATAGGAAGGTTCAAATCAGGCCTGCCCATGAAGATGCAAAGGGGGCGATCACCCTGGGCCCTTTAAATCACTGTCAGAGCACACTCTGGGCAGCTCTGAATGCTGGAGGAACATGTTGTGGTCCTGGCGGTACTGAGGACTGGCTTCCCGAGGCCCTGTCCCGTCCAGGAGCGTTAAGCCAGCCCCCTACCTTACCCAGGGGCCCCAGGACCAGAGTGCCAGCGAGGCTGTTGGCTCTACTGATTCAGATGGTTATAAACTCCACTTTTCTCTACCAATGCAGGACTCTTCCCTACAAGAGATTTACAAATGCCTTGTCCAATATAGCTATAAATATTCCAAGCAGTCTGATTCCCACTGCATTGTTCCTTGTACAGTGCATTCCGCTTGTACAGCTGAGATTTATCATTCTGATTAGACTGCATTTTACACACTCTGCACAGCTGGAATGGAGACTACACAAGAGGCAAAGCAGTGACAAATCTTAACTTTCCGGTGAAGTGTGTATGAGAAAATATATTGCTTCTTTTACTAAAATCCAACCAGCACATATCTCCTGAATTCTCTTTGTTCATATGGTCTCCTGAAGTTCTTATGGGCCCCAAAATTAGAATTTGAGCCAAACAAAGTAGTGGAGTGAGATATGATCTAAATGTTTTGTATAATAAACAATATCATCATACCTGTTCTCCCTTCTCTCCTCTGCCATATGCTCCTCTGCCCTAGAAAGGAGGGGAAAAGGTACATTTAATATAAAATAATGCTGCATTGCACTTTTACTCAAGGATCTCAAAGCACTTTATGAATATTAATTGACAAAAGATTCATGCAGATTCTACTACTGATTATTTATAAAGGCGCATAAATGTGGATGAAACCTTATTAGCAAGCTTTTTGAAACATGCATCTGTTTACAAACCCTGAAGCCATGTGTTAATTTGTTCTGAGACTTCTACTCTTTGAGTTGGTGACACACACGAGGTAAAAGTTTCAAACGAGGAGAACTTTTATCTGTTTTCACAGCATGGTTCCTAAACATTTGCCAGAGACACTGTATAAGCCTTAGTGAATGCCTTTTTACTCTCCTTTTCAGTGTCAGTAAATATTGTATTTATCATGCACTCTTTGCAAATACTACTAAATATTAAATACAAAATAGAGACAATGGATTTCAGGAAGGCAGATTTTGGTAAGCTCAGAGAGCTGGTAGGAAAGGTCCCATGGGAAGCAAAACTAAGGGGAAAAAGAACTGAAGAGAGTGGGCAGTTTTTCAAAGGGACATTATTAAGGGTCCAAAAGCAAGCTATGCCACTGAGTAGGAAAGTATGGCAAAAGACCGCATTGGCTTAACCAGGAGATCTTTCATTTTACTGTGTTTACTAGCTCATGTTGTTAGAAAGGAAGATAATACATGTACTCCAAGGTCAGTGTTAATTTTCTTTTTTATTTGATTTCATATTAAATATCATAAGCATTGTTCCTCGTTAATTTATCCCTTGTTTTAATGTATTTCCTTCCACACTCTGTGTGTGTGTGTGTGTGTGTGTGTGTGTGTGTGTGTGTGTGTGTGTGTGTGTGTGTGTGTGTATTAGTGGTGCACATCGACACACTGCCTCAATATTCATGTTGAACATAAGAAATTTCAACCCACCCCAAAAGAAATTTCAATCCACCCAAGGATAGAAAAAGTTAGAGGGAACACTGGAATACACACATCCTAAGGGATGCTGAATACAAAGGACAGAGGGAGTCTGCTGAAAATAGAATTCTAGTCACCAGGGACCACTCACGCTATGTAAAAGCACTGCCCCTTTCTAAGTCCCATCTAATCAGTAGGAGAACACCCATTCTCCCATCTCTCACATTCCACATTCTGTCAGCCTCCAATGACTCTGACTTACTGAGTCTCCTTTTTCTCCTTTTAGACCAGGAAGTCCTGGGTTGCCACTTTCTCCCTAGAAGAGAGAAAAGGGATGTTAGCATCACCAGATGTAAAGCACATTGTTCTGCCAAGCACACAGCTATTACTGATGGTGCCTAACAATCGATTTAATTGTTCCATTCAGTTGTTCCATTTTAACGTTTGTATATTCGATATTTTAATTATGTATTTAAGCATATCAAAGATTCATCTCACAAGACTGAAACCAACATTGTCCCAAGCCTCACCATATCATCTAGCAGGGCAAGGGCTGTTGCAATCAAAAATCCCATCCATGCATCATCTTGATTCCAGTATATGGGAAGCTTGGGTTTTGGTGTATGATTTATACACAGGCATTGATTTTAAAATACGCATGGAATCCTGAAAGGGGCAATGGCAAGGCAAAAAGATTTCTTGCAGCTCCCTCAGAAAACCTTAATGTTACAATTGCTATTCAGCACAGCAAGGACCCCCAGCCCTTTAAATGTGGGTTGCATTAAAGCCACAGAGACCTCTCCTTTAGCTGTTAAGATGGCCCCCCAAAAGGGGGGAAAAAATGAAAAATTTCTAAAATGTCAGTCATTTCTGTTTTTCAGGTTTCAAAAACGAACCATTTTTCAGTTCTTCGGAATTTGCCATGAACATTTTTATTTCAGATTTTTCCCCCATGCTGTGGGGTTTTCTTCCTTGTCCCCCCTTTATGCTTCTATTTTGAAACAAGCAGGAAGAAAGGGAAAGGGGGAAATAAGAAAGAGGGGGAGATTTTTCAATGTTATCCATAAAACCCAGAAAATTAAATATATATATATATATTTGTGACCCCCACGCTGGCCAGGAGGGGGTTAATGAGCTATGGTGGGCAAGAGTGGTTAGGTTGGGAAGGAGCAGTTGAAAGGACAGAGCCAGCTCAGTTGGGCCACCGTGTGGGTAGACAAGCAGACTGGAAGCTCCTGTCTCATGCAAGGGTCAGGCTACAAACTGAAGGGTGGAGTCAGCCAGGCCCTCCATACAGGAAAGTGCCAGTTTGTGTTTATGCCGGATTGTGAGTTGGGGACTCCACTACCCCGGTAGTGATTGAGTTTTCACAGTGACGAGGGCAGAGAATATGCTGCATCCAGAAGAGCAATGTGCAGAAGACACCACGGGGAAAGCGTAAGCAGAACTGCCATGCCACGAGGGGCATGCAAGGACAGCACTTCTGTGACACCAGCTCTTATAATTTTACTGTCATTCTCATGACATTTGCTGTTTTTTTCTTATCGCTCCTGGAGTCGTGATATAGATGAGACTTTTGGCTTCCATTTTAAAAAGTATATTTCTAGCCTTTGTGGTGGCAGAGAAAATCTTAAAAATATGACTGGGTAAGGCACAGAAACCAGAAGAAATTGAGCCTGGTTTTTTTTGTCTTTTCAAATCTCATAAACCAAGCACATAAATGTTGAGGCCTGATTCTCAATTTCTGAATGTTTAGCACTGGCTGTACTGGAGGGGGCAGGACCCAGGTGAATAGCTCTTGATCTGCTCTCAAGAGTCAGTCAGAATCTGAGCAGGATAAAAGGTATATGTACCGTCTGGGGGAAGGAGGATACTCCTGCGTAAATCTAGCCTAGATATTAACTGGGCCAGAAATGGCATAAAGGGCTTTACATCCATTTACTAATTAATCTTCACAGCATCCCTGTGAGGCAGGCACAAACAATTAGCACTATTTAGTGGATCCAGAAGGTGAGCATAAGAGTTAAATGACCTCCCCTTCTCCTACATTGGACAATCTTCTCAGACACTTCGCCAAAGAATCAATGCACACAAAACAGACATCAGACAGTTTCACAAAGAAAAAACAGTTTCTTGCTATTTCAACCAGAATGGGCATAGTCTCAATGACCTGATTACCTGCATCCTGCTTCAAAGAGACTTTAACACAAGACTTCAAAGAGAAGTCTCTGAACTGTCATTCATGCTTAAATTTGACACTTTACGAATAGGCCTTGACAAAGATGCTAATTATCTTGCCCATTACAAAGATAGCTTCCCCAATTATCATCTCTAATAGCATTAGCTCATAGACATTAACCTCCCCGCCTCATCCTCCCTCTGTTCTAAAATCTGATTGGTCTATTTTATATGTGTTCACATTTTTTTATTGTATCCCTTTGGTATATATGGTCATGCCACTTTTCTTCCACAATTTGATCTGAGGAAGTGAGTCTGGCCCACGAAAGCTCATCACCTAATAAACCATCTTGTTAGTCTTTAAAGTGCTGCATAGTCCTGTCTTTTGTTTCAGCAAGACCAGGCTAACACAGCTACATCTCTATTACTCTCCTACATAGTGACACATTTGCAGAGCTTGTATTAAAATTCAAGAGTCAATTAGATCACTATTCAGTTAGATCACTATTAAACAAACCTCATAGGTCCTTGGATGCACATGGATTGCGGAACACCAAAGCCAGGTGATTACTAGCCTAGATCAGTAAAGAAGGATTGCTAGTCAATCCTCCATCTACAGTACTGTGTTCGTGTCATTTTACTAAGAGTGAAGTGGGGGCAGTGGTCCCCAACCTTTCGGGGCTGCCGGGCACCGGGGGTGGGGCTGCTCACATGCCACGCACCCAGGGTGGGCCCACACATGTGCCGTGCACTCGGGGGCGGGGCCATCCATGCGCTGCACTCTCGGGGGCGGGGATGCCCATGCACCACACACCCGGGGGCGGGGACGCCCATGCACCACATGCCCAGGGCAGGGGCTGCCCATGCGCCGCGTGCCCAGGGCAGAGGCTGCCCATGTACCACACGCCAGGGGCCGGCACCACGCATGCACCACGCCCCAGGGGCGGGGACAGCCCAGATCATTTGGCGGGCGCACATAAATGCCCCCACGGGCATCATGTTGGGGACCACTGGCTAGTCACTCATGTTTGTTACAGGAATTTGCCAGTGGGTAGAACAAGATACATTTTCTTTCTTTTGTTTTACCATTGCCATCCTTTTGTGTTCTTTTCACAGTCATTTCTCATGGTCCTGCCATTCTAAAGAATAGCCCGTCATCACTTAAATTGTCACAGCCTAAGATAGGAATGGGGCTATTTATAGACCCATGAACACAATAAGCCAAAGTCTCAGCTATTTTAAACAGGTGCAACTTAAATTTCAACAGGCTTGACTCTATTTACTGCAGCAGAAAATATATACCAAAAGCATTTCTTTCTGCATCCCTGAAACATTTAACCAGTGCAGCGAGTCTCTCCAAAAGGCCAGGGTTGGGTCTTTTAACCTCAAAAGCCACACAGAATAAGAGACTCCATCAGAGGTCAGCATCATCCAGCTAAGTATGATTTAGAATCATCCAGGAAAAGAATAGTTGCTTGACTCTGTGAATTCTAAGAAGAAGCCTGTCTAGAAATATAGCCCAAATTTCACTTCAGCCCATTACTCAAAATGCTTTAGCTAGGATACCCCAGTTTCAGTGAATGTCTAGAGGATGACTAACAGTAATGAGGTGGCCTATTGGCTTGGAGACGGTGCAGAATCCATGCAGAATTATTGGAGAATCATTAGAGTTGTGATGTCAGTCTCTTAGGGTACGTTTATGCTACAGAGTTTATTCGGGAAAATGGCGGTTATTCCAAAAAAACTTCAATTACATCCATACTGCAATCACGTTCTTTCGAAAAAAAATCAAAAGAACAGAGGGGTTTTTTCCAACATTGGTAAACCTCTTTCTACAAGGAAGAAGCCTTTTTCCTAAAGAACTTTTTCGGAAAAAGGTGTGTGTGGACGGGGGAGAGTTCATTCGCAAGAAAAGGAAAGAGGAAAAAGCACAGGTGCCCTGGTGGTCATTCTGCCCATAGTAATCACAGCTTACAAAGTAAGATAGTGTCCATTCAGTGTGGACGCTATCTGTCAAAAAAGCAGATTACCTTTTCGATGCGCTTTGGGAGTGTGGACGGTCTCTTTCAGAAGAAGCTTTTTCAGAAGATCTCTTTGGAAAAGCTTCTTCCGAAAGAAGACTGCAGTCTACACATAGCCTTAGATGATGTGTTTGAGAAACATAATGTAGAAACAAAAATGTTGCCTGTTAGTGAGTGCTTCTACAGGCTACATAAAAGTACAATTGAGCATAGTCAAGACACATACACACACTCACAAATTAATTTGATTTTGTTCCTTAAACTCTTCATGTCATACAGAATATCCCAGCATTCAGTACTTATAAATAGAGGTACTACTGACCTTTTGACCTCTGAAACCTTCAGGGCCTGTTGGACCCCTCTCACCCTAAAGAGAGAACAAGGAGAGAATTTGGAGACTGCTCTTCTTACTACATGCCAGCACACTAGGGTCCACCAGAGACAATGGCAACAACCCCACCATGGAAGAGTCCATTTCAGTGGGCAATGGATAGAAAGGTAAATGTCCTCAAAGTATGAGCAACAGCACACACAAAAGAAGTCAACGATAAACACATATTGCAGCAGTGCTAATATCTAAGTGGCCTCTTCTGACATAAAGTGGCTCAATTCCACACCAGGCAAGGGTATGGTTTCCACCTGGCTCACATTCACCCTATGAGCCTATTCCTAGTATGTCCTACAAAACCCTCACTTAATAGGGGAGTTAAAAATTGCAGATTCATGTTCTAGGTTGATCTCCAGAAGCCACAATCAGGATCAGGATCCAAGGAAGTAGGTGGTGAGACAGTCTTTCCCCAAACAACCTTACAAGCCAGGTATCTGATCCTGCCTGGAACTGCATGTCAAGCACCGTGACGGTCCCCTACTAGATCCTACTCCACAAATGAAAGGAGCCTGCCAGAAAGAAGCAGCAAAGGTTCCCAAAAGAGAACGGAGTCACTCACCTTTTCTCCAGCAGGACAGGAACAGTTGAGGGTATTTTGAGCACCCACTTGTTCGCTGCCAACAGTGGGTCTTATTTCAGGAGGTGGTGGTTCAGTGACGACTGTCACCTGACACTAAATCCAAACAGCTCATATTATTATCAGGTTGTCCCTTTTAGAAACCTCACTTGCCTTTGAGCTACATTGATATTTATCAAGACGTGTTGCTAACTACGTCAAACTCCAGAGACTAGGGATCATAGATTTGTTTGGATTAGGGGTTTTTAAAACTACTGAAAGGCACAGTCTAGATTGCACATCTGATTATCCCAATAATAACTACAACAGTGATTGAGGCACTGCAGACTTCTGCCATACTGTGACAGTGTTTCTTGCAACACAAAAATCTTTCCATTGGGAACTGTACAGAGACTACTAACTAGCAATGGTTGCTGCCTTCGCTTTTCCCATGCAGCAGCAACGGGAACCACTAACTACTTTTAGGTGGAATTGTTATTCTTTCATCAGCAATCGAACCCTTCAGACTTTTCTGTTTCTTATGAGAGTTTGACAGGGAAACAGGACATGAACATGTTTAATTCTTTATACTTTTCCCTTTTTCGGTAAACTCATCACAGTCACGTTACTTGATTCACTACCTTTATGACATCAGACTCACACTGCTGCATCCCCTTATTTGGATGAGTGAGTGAGTGAGTGAGTGAGTGAGTGAGTGAGTGAGTGAGTGAGTGAGTGAGTGAACAAAACATCTTACTGGTCCAGAGGGAATATCACAGCAGGTTTCCAGCTCAGCATGTCGGGAATCACAATAAATCACCATCCGCTGAAGATCAAACTAGAAAACAAAGACAAACAATAGGGCCATGTTTGAGACTGTGTATTATCAATGCCAACTTATGCCTAGTGTTTTGATACTAGCGGTATGTCTAGACTGCATCCCTCTGTCGGTAGAGGGATGCAGATTAGGCAGGTCGACATTGCAAATGAGGCAGAGATTTAAATATCCCGCACCTAATTTGCATAAAAATGGCCACCGTGTTTTACCAACTCAGCACTTTGTCGGCACAACGCAGCCGTCTAGAGAGGGATCTGTCAAGAAAGAAAGCCTTTTTTGTCAGATCCTGTAAACCTCCTTGCAGGTTGCATAAAGGATCTGTCAAAAAAGGCTTTCTTTCTTGACAGATCCCTCTCTAGACGGCTGCGTTGTGCCGACAAAGTGCTGAGTTGGTAAAACACGGTGGCCATTTTTATGCAAATTAGGTGCGGGATATTTAAATCTCTGCCTCATTTGCAATGTCGACCTGCCTAATCTGCATTCCTCTGCCGATAGAGGGATGCAGTCTAGACATACCCTAAGAGTGCAAACAATACAAAGGCCAGATGAGGGTAGACCATGATGATTCTGGAGGTTCCATAGCTGACACCCATTCCTCTCTGTCAATACCCCCATTTACTGTGAAGGGCACTATGTTAACGAGATCCGATCTGTGTTCATTAAAGATTCTATGGAGCTTTTTACATTAATGAGCATTTATATTAACCTCCCTGTTCTGGCCAAATTCCTATCTGGAAAGTTACGTCTGCCTAACTACATTACCCTTGCAATTTCAACTGGATAAGCGGATGTTCATTGTGTTCAACTCCCATACTCAGTTACCCCTAATGATTTTACATGCACACGGTGTTTACTTTTCACAGATCCCTTCTAACTTCAGTAGCGTTCCCCTAACTTACACACATCTAAGAGAACCAAGCCTGCTGTAAATATCTTGATCTTTTCACTAAGACCAAGCACGGTACTAAGTTTACCACTGGATGTATTTTCTGTGAGGTGAGGACAAATCTTGACATTGCAGGAGAGAAACTCAGTGATTTAATGAATATTTTCTTCCACTTCTACCCATAAAACTCAATGTAAATGTAACACCAGCAGGCAGAAACAAACCTAAGACCTCTGGAGACTAGTGCAGGAATCTCTACAGCTTAAGTTATAAAGCCAGCTGGTACACAGCTAAAGCAAAGTCACTCTTTCTCCCTGCAGGTGGTCTAAATGCCACTACAGGGAACTTGCCACACCCAGAAGGTGTGCTGGTTACATAAGGCCAGGTTGGAACAGTAAAGAGGTGTCCAGTCGCTGTTTGGCATTATGCAGATTTGGTGAATATGTTTGTGAGTGATCATTAGGTATGAATTTGGACGTGAGTTAACAATGGCAAGCTCAGACTGGCCAGAAGCTCCCTTCTTATATCCCTGCACTGCACGCTTCAGTATGCTCATGGTAGAGGACGGAAACCCTCGTTTCAGATGAGATGTTGGCCATTCTCAAACTGTTCCTCAAACACAAAGATTAAGGAGATGACAGTGAATAAAAAGAGGGCTCAGAAAGGACACCAGAAAACCCCATCAACCTTGGCTAGATGGGCTCACCCCCTTGGGGGATGAATCTGCAGACTCAGTACTTACATCTATGGGCACGCTGTCATACAGGCGTTTGCCAATCACAGTCTTCCCTTGGATGTCAATATTTTCTCTGTCTTCAATAGGCAATGTCTGCACGAGTTTGCAGTCAATGTAGAGGGAGACGCTCTTGGACTGAATGCTGAGGGCGATCTTATGCCAGTTGCGGTCAAACAAATCGCTGACTCGTGCACTTCGAAAGACCACTCGCACGGCGTCCTTGGTCAGCCCAATGGAACTGTACTCCACGGCTTTGTTCTCCCCATCCAATCGGATAGAGACCTGAGTAACAACAGAACGTTGCCAAGAGAAACACAACTTCGCTCTCTGTACACGTATCCTTTTGCATAAACTGTGCCCCAACGTGCTTTATAGAGTCAACATTTCTAATAGTAAAGGGGAAGGAAAAGAGAAGTAGACAGAGTGTGGGGCTCCTCGCTGAAGATGGGAGAAGAAATTAGATTGAGAAAAGACAAGGTGTGTTAAAGAGATGGCGATGGCCTACATTATCTGCCTTTATGACTAAAAGAATCAAGCTGTGTCCAAAAACAATAAAAAACTAAAAAGGAAAGACTGAAATTCAATCAAGTTTTCTAATGAAAGATAAACAGCCCAGTTTAATCAGTACTAGGTAAATTCCTGTCCCCTCTAGCATTGTAGAATTCACACTCTACCCACTAATTGTAATTATCTTTCTCTTTCCAAGATCATTGCTAGGAGCATATTATTTCTCATAATTCCTCTATCAGATGGCTCAAGTACAGTGTATAGTAGGCCATGGGATGTAGGAGCAAGCAGATAAAGGGTAACATAGCACCTAGGTAAGCTAGATGCCTAAGTCCCATCTTTAAAAGTGATTCAGGCATTTAGGAGCCTATGCTGTATTGATTTTCAATGAGATTTCAGGTTCTTGTCAAAATCACTTTTGAAAATGAGGCAGGCATAGGCCTTTTTGAAATTTTTACCTGTTGCTTTTCACTTTCCAAATTTCAGGAGGTCAATTATTTTAGTTGTAAACAACAGGAAGTCACTGTCTGGTATACAGGATTTGGAATTAAGGTGGTACAATCTCACAATAAGTTACATTTCCTTTTATCAAAGAGCATCTGGTACTTTCAAAAGATCGTGACAGCTGCATCAATCTTTTTTCACTGGCTACTTAAGAATCTAGCTAGCTAGGTTCTTATACTACCCCCATCCCCGGTGCTGCCTGAATGCCTCAAATATCTGCCCACATCCTTTGGAAGTTTAGATCCAAAGGAATAATAATATTTAGCTCTGTGAAATCAATCAGTGGCAGCCCACTCAAGAATTATGAGTAACTGTGCAATGAGAAAATAAAATGTAGGAAGAAGACAAAGCAAAAAAAAAAAAACCCACAAAACAAAAAAACAAAACCTCCCAAACAAAAAAGGGAACATGAGAACCTTATATAATGAATAAACTTCAGTATCATGAGTGGTCCTATGTATGTCGGGGATGGGCAATAATTTTTGTTGGGGGGCCACCCCAAGAATTTGGCAAGTGGTGGAGGGCTGCTTTTTACCATTATATTAACAAAGGAGGTAAGGGGGTCTGAGATGGAGGTTGGGTGCAGAAGAGAGCTTGGGGTAAGGGATTGGGGTGTAGGATCTGGGAGGGAGTTTGGGTGAAGGAGGAGTTTATGACCTGGGGCAGTGAACTGAGGTACAGGAGGGGGTGCAAGGTCTGGGAGGGAGTGCAGGAAGGGTGCAGGGATATGGGTTATGACCAGGGATAGCAGTTTGGGTCTGGGAGGGGATTGTAACCTGAGGCAGGAGTGCAAGAGGGAGTGCAGGGATTTGGGCTGTGACCAGGGACATCCGATTGGGGTGCAAGGTCTGGGAGGAGACTGTGACCTGAGGAGGAGTGTAGGAGGGGATGCAGTGTCTGGGAAGATGTATGGGGGCTGGAGCATGGGTGCGAAAGGTTTGGGTTACATGGGGCAGGGATACAGGAGGGGGGTAGAGTGTTAGGGGAGGAAAGGCCTGGGATGCCAGAGGCAGGCTGTGGCAGGGAGACCTTACCTGGGTGTCTCCCAGCCAGCAGCCCAGCAAGTTTCTTAAACAGGACCCCTGCCTTCCACGCCCCTGTATCGCTTACCAAGAGCCATGTTTGCTGCTGCTGCAAACACTGTGAGCTGGAGGGATGAGGGGGAAGGGGGCACTTCGCATGCTGCTTGTCCTGCAAACAGGCAGCTGCTATTGGCTGGAAACCGGCCAATGGGAGCTCGTGGGGGCTGGAGCAGTGTGAGAAGCCTTTGCCCCTTCCCCCAGGTTCTCACGGTCACTGAACAACATGGCCATGCTGTAGCTGGCTTCACTGCATACCGAGCGGGGGTGGAGCAGGCTGAGGCTCTCCTGGGCCGAATCCAGCCCACAGATCATATTTTGTCCAGGCCTGATGTATGTGGATCCACCACTGCTGAAAGTCATGTGGCTGGTACACCCCAGACAGGGACAAAGGGGAAATACTGAAGATCGTTGATAGTGTTTTAAACTATACAAACGTTATGCTAAAAAGCCGTTCAAGCCTTGGAAATCTATTCTAGCTTACCCCCCTGAATATAGGGGGGATGGTAAGGGCCGTGAAAAGTTTCCAGGAACAGAACAAAAGAGAAAAGACCACAAGGAGGGAGAAACACATAAGGAATAGGGGGAACCAGGGAGGAAACATAAGTCAGGAGACAGCAGTAAGGTCACAGATGCTGAGTAAGCGACTCCTTGAGGGATGGACCACCCACCATGTAAAAGCAGACATAAGGCAAGACACAACCTGCCTGCCTGCCTTTCTGCCCAACGAGGGTCCCAAAGGACTCCCAAGTGAAGGGCAAAATAGAAAACATCCTGGCTGTGTCTAGACTGCATCCCTTTTCCGTAAAAGGGATGCAAATTAGACACATCGCAATTGCAAATGAAGCGGGGATTTAAATCCCCCCCCGCTTCATTAGCATAAAAATGGCTGCCGCTTTTTTCCGGCTCGGAGCTTTGCCGGAAAAAAGCACCAGTCTAGACGCGGATCTTTCGGAAAATAAAGCCTTTTCTGAAAGATCCCTTATTCCTCTTAAAAGAAGAAAAGGGATGCAGTCTAGACACAGCCCATGTACGTAGCGTTTATTGTTTTGCATGAACCACACTCTCTTGATTGGGTATGAAGGAAGAAACGTGCTGAATTCTGTGCAAAGTGTCACAGTGTGTGTGAACTGCTTCCCAACTGCTGCCTGCTTCTGAGAGAGTTAAACTCGCACCTCAGAGGTACAGTTCTGGGGCAGGGTGTATTTAAGTAACAGGGGCAACCTTGGGGGCCTAGGGCAGGTGGGCTGAAAAGCCCCATTTCCAAGGAGGGGTTACAGGCTGAGAGTTGGTGCCCAGGAAATGGGCAACAGAGGAATGAGCACAAGAGCCTGGTGAGGCTCTAGACGTGTGTAACCCCTGGTGATCCAGAGTAGCAGAGATTGGATTGCCCCTCTCAGTTATCCTAATAAGTGGCCAGGAAGGGGCTCTCACTAGGTTCTGTGACTGTACCACTGTATTACTTTCTATCTGAGGAATTGGAAGTGTTTTACAAGCATTAATGAATTAACCTTCATAAATCTCGTATGGGGTAGGGAAGCATCATTATGCCCATTTCACAGGGGAGTAAACTGAGGCAAATGCCTGTAAAGTGACCTGCCCAAAGTCACCCAGGATGTCTGTGGCAGAGTCAGGAGGAGATGTCACCTCTCCTGAGGCCTAGTCATGTGCTTTAACTGTGAGGCCATCCTCTTCCTCTCCGGGTCAAGCAATACGTTTTCTATACAGCACCAGCTGAATGAAATGATTGAAAAGCTCAAAGTGCCTTTAAAAAATTAGGAGAGTGTCTTTCTCTGCCCATTTCCTCCTAAGCCCCGCCACTCTCTGAGGTGCAGAAACCCAATGTCAGTCATGGGCCCTGTTCAGTTTCATTGGCAAAGGCAGTTTGGCAGAATCAACTGGCAGTGTCAGTCAGACAAAAGGAATGTCAGAAGGGGGAGTGAGGGGTTAAAGCAGAAGAGTCAACTCATGTGGAAAAGACTGGAAAAGGCCCCATACCTGTGGTATGCCGTACTTGTCAATAATCTGCCAAATATACCAGTCTTCTCTCCTAGAAGCCTTCCGAAATTTGAAGGTGGCTACAAAGGCATATTCATCAGGCAGGCCCTGTGGGAATACACCCCTGGGGGAGAGGAAGTGGCAGAGAAATGTAACAGACAACAATGAAGAGCAAAGACTTTAACAGACACCCCGGCATGTCCTGGCAAGATTTTCCAAAAGTATATGAGGGGAATGTGGGGACTGTCTTTCTTCTCAGTCGGGGGCCATATCAGTGAGGGTTTGTTTTTGGTTTTGCTTCTCACTTGTGTGTGGCCCCCTGACTGATTTTTCTGTGGGTCACTGACCCCTGAGCCAAAAAAGGCTCCCCACCCCGGTCCTCTAGGGAGACCTGCAACCAGACACAGTCAACCCGTTTGCTAGCTGCTCACACAAATGCATTCCCCCCGCCCCAGACACACACACACACACAGCACACCATCCTGACGTGGCTTCCCCTGGTGCCAGCATCCGGTCTGTGGCACAGCAAAAAGAGAGAACCCAGAGCTCCCTCCCCTCCAAGTTGTGGAACCCACAATAATTCCACATCACAAAAGAGCAGGCCCATGGGTTGCCACTGTGCTGCCAGAGCTCCCATGGGGAATAAATCTGGCATGAAAGTGGCAACAAAAGCTCCTGGAGCCATCCGGAGGAGGTGACGAACAGCCAGTTCAGTCATAGCTTTCCTGCCAAAGGACACACAGCTAGGCCTCGTGTACCTTTGACATGTATTTGTGTGAACCTCCTGCCGCACTGCTGTCTGCTTTGTACAAAGGGTGTGTTTCCCTTCTCTGAAGAGGGAAACAGGCCCCTCTTCAATCACTCACAGATTCAACTGGCCTCTCCCCCATTCCCCAAGGAGCCTTTCAGAATAATGAACTAACCACCACAAGGTCTCCATGCATTTATTTCAGGAGAGAAGTGCATCCCAGCTGATGCTTGGCTGTGAAGCCCCATTTCTTTGCTGGAGTGCCGGCATGGGGAGTGCTTCCCGTACTAAGCCAATTACACTCTGTGTTTCCATTCATTCTCCTTGCCTGCCTATCTTCCTGACTTCTTTCCTGGGCTTCAGTGCCACCCAACTGACTCAGGCTTGCAGGGCTGGTGCTACAGGGCTAAAAACAGCTGTGTCTATGTGCCTGCTCCTGCTGGAGCTTGTGCTTTGAAACCCAGGGAGGGAGCATTGGTTTGAGAGCCCAAGCTCCGGGCCAAGCGGGAAGGCCTACACTGGTATGTTTAACCCTATAATACAAGCCCTGCCATCCCAAGTCAGTTGACCCGGGCTCTAGGACTCACTGCCATGGAAGGGTTTTTCAGTGTAGATGTTCCTCTGTCTCCTGCTGGTTTCTCCCCAGCTCTCTGCTCTTTTTTCCAGTCCCCTAGGGCCATGGGGCTGCAATCCCCTTTTGTAACCAACCACCTGCACTCCCTACATCTCTTTGCTCCAAGGACTGGGCACTTTGTGGTGAAGCTCCTGTTCTGCCTTCTGTCCCCTCTGCCCCTGCTCCCTGGAAACACAGCAGGAAGTGAGCTAGCTCAACCTCTGTTATAGGAGACAGCTTCTCACCCCCAAACCTTTGGCAGAAAGTCACATTCGCTTCTTCTCTGGCTACACTTCCCACATCCATTCTGAAGCTTCCTGTAATGAAAGACAAACCGACCTACACACTTTCTTCATAGAGTACGTCTAGACTACATGCCTCTGTCGCCAGAGGCATGTAGATTAGGCTACCAGGCATAGGAAAATGAAGCGGCGATTTAAATAATCGCCGCTTCATTTAAATTTACATGGCTGCCGCGCTGAGCCGATCAGCTGTTTGTCGGCTCAGCGCGATAGTCTGGACGCGCAGGTGTCGACATCAAAGGCATTTGTCAACCACCCAGGTATGCCTCCTGGGATGCTTCATTTTCCTATGCCTGGTAGCCTAATCTACATGCCTCTGGCGACAGAGGCATGTAGTCTAGACGTACCCTTAGTGCTGGCAAATGATCAGATTCACAGTCCTGAGAAGATGTCCCTTGTATTTACCCACCAAATGGACATAGGATTGGCAGAAGCAGTGTGAACATCTCTCTTACTGGCCCCTACCCAGGGCCTGATTCTGCAAAGCATTTATGCTCATACTTCATGGTAAGTATGTACGGAAGTCCCATTGAAATCAACAAGATTTCAGCATGGGCTTTGCTCAAGAGGGATGTGCTTAAGCACATGCTGAAAGTTAAGCTTGAGTGCTGAGCGGATTTTTTTGGCCCAAGAGCTCCCACTCAACATTGCAAGTGGCCAGTGAGGAAGTAAATAAACTAACTTAACTTAGACTCCATGTTCTCCAAATGAGAAGCATTTACAAGTGTTTACCCTTGACTACACTACTGGATGTGCCCATTCTTGGCCACTCAGCTTGACAAAGCCCTGGCCAGGTTGATTTAGTTGGAATTGGTCCTGCCTAGAGCAGGGGGCTGGAGTTGATGACCTTCTGAGGTCTCTTCCAGTTCTATGGTTCTATAATTCTATGAGTGCCTGTGTGGTTCTGTGGAGGCCTCTGTGCTAGGAACTGGCCTGAAACCACGGATTGTTTACACAGAGATTGCTGAGTGGTTCCATCATGTGGATTAAAAGTGCTGACAAGTAGTAATCACCTGTTACCAGCCCCCCTCAGCTGAAGAGCAGGCTGCAAGTTCCCATCAGACACAGCCTTTGTGCTGAAAGCAAACACAAAGGCACCTATGTTGCTGAGAAGGGATAACAAAACCTGGAGTTGAAGTCCTTTGCCCCTGAATCTTTTGTAGAAATGCAGTGGCTGATAAGTAACAAAAGCCTTGCTCATGAGATTTCATTTATTTCCCTTCTAAAAACATTGTTATCCACCAAGGGGCTCAGTCTGGTATCTGGGAATCCAAATACTGAGAGTAAAGTCTCAGGAAAGGTTTTATTTCCCTGCCTTCACCTAAGCTGAAATGAGCTGATGATCCATCCTGCAGAGTATCTGAAATCTTGCTTTACAGGTTGCCTGGTATCCACAGGGAGCTGGCTGCCAAGTTTGTAATTTGGTGAACACAACAAGCCACAGAAAAGTTCTCTATAAAGCTCCAAGCTGGAAGAAATCCCAAGTGCAGCAGGTTAGCTTACGAGTTAATTAGCTCAAGTTCAAGCTCAGATGAATCACAGCTTCAGCATAGAGAAAATGACAACCCCCCACTTTGGGGACTTCCTAGTCTCACCTTGATTGCTCATTGCCTTTCATTTGCCAAAAGAACACGGACTCCTCCACCCACAACCATCACATCACATGGTAACAGTCACCAATTTTTGTTCCTGATATCAAATGTAACCAAAGCATGTTCTTTGCTTGTGTTTACGCAGATTCCTGACATTTCAGAGATTTTGGAAATTAGTTGACAAAAATTAAAGCCAACACTGAAGAGCAAAGGGAACACCTGCACAGCTCAGACTTGTAGGTCACTGAATGCTCTGAGCCCGCTGAATCAAATCCAGCCGAGGCCAACAGTGGCTACAATTCACTAATGTTTGATGGCCGTTCAGTGAGCAGTGTATCTGAACCAAGGCTGGTGGGTTCATCCACAGGGCTAAATTACTCTCACTGGCCAGAAAACTGAACCAAGGCTGGTGGGTTCATCCACAGGGCTAAATTACTCTTGCCGGACAGAAAACCTGCGGAATAAAGCTTTGGAGGAGGAAATCTCCATGAGAAACCTCTGTAGAGATTTCCCCCACTGGAGAAATGGGGCTTGCTCCCCTGAGTAACCCCGTTGATCTCCTGGGACCTCATCAAGCGGCTGTGATCATCTGTGAAGGGGATCTGAACTGATTTGTGGGCTCTGTGGCCTGACTTGTGCTCACCTCACTCCCATCGCCCAGGTTCCAAGTCCCCATTTTAGTCACTTTTGGGCTGCAGGAGTGGGAGGAGTCTAGATCTGATCCTAAAAGGAGGGCCTTGCTGCAGAGGTGCTTTGGGAGAAAGACAATAAAACTGCAGCTCCAAGGTTGACCTGTCTTTCTTCAGAATCTCTGCAGGGCTGGAAGGAGAGGAGGTTGTGCTGACCTGGCACCCCCTTCCCTACCCATAAGTCCCAGAGCCTAAGGAGTGCTTTCTGTAGCATCCAGAGAAACAGTGCCACAGAGATAGCATTGGGTGCAGGGAAATGTAGGGTCAATTTCCTCCTTCATCATGCTCATTCTCAGGGAGCAGCTGTCCATATCCCAACAGGTACTACGGCAAATCTCCTCACAGGGGCCTGCTGCTGAATGAGCCAAGGAGAGGGCTCCAAAGGATCTCCATACACGTCAAGTTTGAGGCACCAAGGAAAGTCTGCAGAGCTTGTGCCTACCCCCACGTTCTAGAACTCAAGCACCTGCTTAACTTTCAGCAATAGGGTTGCCAGGTGCCTGGTATTGACCCAGATAGTCCAGTATTTTTGCCTCCTCTCCAGTAAAAAAATTCAGAGAATATTGGACAACTAAAATGGGGACGGGAGTGTTAGGTATTTTTGGTTAAACCATCTGGCAACCCTATTGAGCAAGTACTCATGTCTCACTGAAGTACAAATACTTGAGCCGGGGGCCTACTTCTGCAAGGGGTTTCACTTTCCAGGACCACCACTCTGGTAACTTCTCCCAGCACAAAATGCTCACATCTAACTTAATTTTTTTCCAAATGGAAAATAAAACCATTTAAATATATTACTCAGTAAATTAATCAATTGGTACCTAATTATGAGAAATTGCCATGAATTGGTAAACACTGTTATTAATTATTTGGAGGTAGGGGGGTCTTTGTTTTAGTGCTATTCATAATTTCTGTTCCAGGTTTTATGTAGATATATGTGATTTCATTTTCCTTGAATGGTGTTCCCACAGGAATCTTCTTGGAACCCACAATTCCTCTGGCTGCTGAAGACAAAAACAGAATAGACTAAAACCTCATGGAACTTGAATTTGTTTTGCTTCCAAACTGCTGGAGCTTGCAAGTTAAAATACAGACGAAGAGTGAAAATAGGCAGGATTTTCCCCCCTTTTTGATCATGTAAAAAGGGAAATGTAACTTCTAAAAAATGTATCTATACACG